AAAATATGGTCTATATCGAGTATTTAATATTGACTTAAATGAAAAACGTATTCAATCGGTTCTTATACCATCACCATTGACATCTCAATTAAAAGAATCAGTTCTTAAACAAGTTGAAACACCTCCTATATTAACTGAAAAGCCAAAACAAAAAATCTAAGAAAAAGAAAATAATTGAAAAACAAGAACAATCATCAACATCGAAATCTAAACACACACGAGAACATAGTGGTGATAAAGAATTATTATCACCAGCTGATGAAGAAGAAAATCGTTCAACTTCTTCTACACCTTCTCTTGCTCCTCCTGTTACTGCAGGGAAACCCAAAGTAAAAAATCATCATCAAAAACAACAACAATAGTATATACAAATACTTCTGTGCCACTCCTATTGGACATTATGACAGATGATATTCATCCAACAAATCAATCTGAGTAACAATACAATGAACAAGATACTTATAAACTAGCTGCTCAATCTGACAATTTGACAATTGTAAATTCAATAATTATCCTAGTTTAACAATAGATGAGGAAACTTCGTTAAGTGATAAAATGCTTTTGACATGAGTCTTATCTCATTAGGTGGTAGACTCTATTGAGATTAGAGAAAATCTTCGTCTGATCATCTTTAAAAAATTTACCTTTGAGATATGAAAAGATGGAGTTCGCTTTTCTTCGTAACAGAATTTTCAATATTGATGTCTCAGGATAGAAGATATTCGGAAGTTTCTGACACTTACACAATGAATTAATCCTATCAAGAGCTTGATTTTGAAGATGACCTGAAGAGAAATTCACTAAAATGACTATTATGCAAACAAAAAAGATCCATTCAGATTCCAATTCCAAAAAAAAGTCAACTTTGTCCATCCCTAACTCATACCAACGTTGGAGATATTACTTTTTTTACCATTGAAATCATTTGAATATGTATTTAAACAATCTGTTATAAATTAATTTTTAGGAATATTTGATTAATCCGCATTCATTAATAGCTCGAGTTGATGTAATATTTTTTTTTTAAATTGAACATCATTTATTATTGATCATATTAATATTCATGTTATTGATAGTATGAGTTCGAAATTATTAAATACAACAAGTACAAATCTAATATCATTTCCATCCATAAGTCTTTTTCCTCATTCACCAAATTATATTCATATTTATTTTTTTCAATAAATGCTATATCATTTTTTCAAAAATTAAAAACAACATTAGACTTATTCTATAAATGTATGTTGAACGAATAAAAAAAAAAACTTGTTATCTTCATTTTTGACAAATATATTTAGAAATTAAATATAATTGAAACAGATCGAATTGAATTTAAACTTAATTTACCTTGTTCACGATATTTACGACGAAAGACTATTGATTCGCAAGAATAAGTTTTTTTTATTAGGTTATTTAACATGAATATATATTATTTTAAAAATTATGGTATTCGTTGATCTGATGAGTTCGGGTACATTGATATGTCAATCACAACTTCGTATTCCATCATTTAATCAAGATTTTCTATCGATAATTAATAAAATTTGTCAATTTTATTGATTAACTGGTTAGAAAATACAATTGAATTTTTTTTTATATCCAAATTCTTAATTTAGTTGTCTAAAAATTAATTCAGCTGCATCTTGATATGCTGAAACCATACTTGGACAACTAATAGCTCTTTTATTTAAATCAATATTATGTCTATTTTAAGATTTTTATTTATTTAGAATTCTCAAAATAATATTTTAATTGATGATAAATCAACAAAAACACATTATCTTTCTAATCTCATGAAAGAAATACAAACATCATTAAAATAATTTGTTTTTCTTTATTTCATTTATTTATTTTTATTTTTATTCCATGGACAATATCTATATAAAGCGAAGAGAAAAATAATAATTGACAAACAGTGATCTCTTTTTTTGCATCTATTATCTTCATTTACCAAAAAAAAGCAAAGAAAGAAAATCTCTTATGTATCAGATAATAAGTATATTTGATCTTCTGACACATAGAAAATATGTTCTTTTTTTTTTGTTTTGTTCTGAATGATTATAGTCAATTCTTATGTGTATACATATTTTCTATTTTTTATTTGCTATAATTCGAACATTATATATATTTATAAAAAAGAGGAAAATTAATGATAAACTATTTAATCATTCTCGATTGGTTTCAAATGATTAGAAGAAAGAAATTTTTCTTTTCTATGAAGCTTATTAAATTTTCAAGTATAATGAGTACCGATGAGCGGGATCAATCGTTTATTATCCCGATCTTGACTAGAAAAAGTTTTTTAGTTCTGACTTCACAATTAATAATACATGTACTAGCAAAATATGCAATATACTATTCTAGTAGTGTCAATAAACTCGAGACATCTTGGACGATCATCATGACTTCTAATATCCTGTCTCGTCGAGGATCATTACTTTTTTTTTTTAACTCATTAGTATCTGATCGGTTCTGTTCGTTTACATGTTCGACAATTCTCTTGTTTACGAACAAAATAAGGATTATTTTACTCTGAAAATTAGAACGGCAAATATTGCAGTGATCTTTACTCAATAATTTTTGCATAGACTTAGAATACATGAGTCGCAACAACATAGCATGATCATAAAAGGTATCACTGATCTAAGCTTTGTATGGAAATAAAAAACGCTTTATAAATATTGTTCACGACTGTACATCCAACGACAATAATTTCAGCATGCGGATTTGAATATTAGCATTGGTAACAAGTGATATAAGATAATTGTTCTGATTTTTCTTCGGTTTATAAAATAAAAAAATTAACTAGCTCACAATTATGCAAATGACAGAAAAGGATATAATTGATATAAGGTGTGGATATAGATGAGGCTCTTGTCTTCACTCACACACACACCATATATACTTTCATAATAAAATATAAATCTTACTACCTAACCTAACGTCCAATAGTGGTGTAACCAGGATTCTTAGACCAATGGGCAAACTCTCCTATGTCGAAAAAAGCCAATGGGCGAGGTTTTTATTGATAGGCCCGAAACTTTTTTCACCCAACAAAGTACTAATAATGTAAAAACAAACATGTATAAGGTAGTGTTAAGGATTCTTCAAATATGTCTCTGTGCAGTGTCACTCTATATGTATATACATCTATACATATATATGTTCGTGTGTATTCTCTTGATCTGGGCTCTTGTTTCTCTTTTCTACTTTCACGTGGTTAGTGTTTTCCCAATAAAACTGAATTCATGTTCACCCAAACTTACAGTTAAAATCAGAGTTGCCAGATTTTCTAAAAAGTCAGAAATTTGTCTCAAATTTGAACATGTTTTCGATTTTTTTTTCTGATTTGTTGGCGAATTCCAAATGTTTTTAGACGGTGGCTTTACTAGTGAAATCAATTGCAAGTATAACTCATTAATATTATGAATCAATATTTCACTATCTTCTTTCCTTTCTTAATCTTTTGTAGTTTCTAAGTTCTGCAGTCGCTGACGAGTGCTGTAATATATCAGTAAACTTTTGCGTTGCAGAACTTAACAATAAATGCTAATTATTTTTTTAAACGATTTTGTAAACATATTTTAGCTCAAAAAAATTTATTGAAGAAATTTTGAACAAAGGAAAACTTGAAAAATAATATGGAATTTATGTTCTATAATCTTTATTATTTTTCGTAAACAGAATTTTAGCTTCGTAAAAGAATCCGACACTGTGTATCTTTTGCTAGTTTGGTTTTTGTATTGACTAACAATTGAAGACCATGCAACGGCAAATTAAGAAGATTGCTCATAGCTGAATCAAATGAATGCTCTCACTCACAGACCAACTAAAACGTTAGCTGTCACTAGCGTACACAGACCGAGATGTTTAAATTTTAAGATATTTACAGTCTGTCATGTGCCCACACTACGAAATTTCATCAACCTTCAGTTCTCTTTCTTCATCATGGTTGTATAGAACACGACTATTTACATCAGAAGAAGCAATATCACACACATTCAAGAGTAATTTGGCAGCAATAAAAATTTTTTGTTTCTTACCCTTATAATTAAAATGTTGTCTTAGACTTCGTATAATTTGCTTTTTAATATGCGTGATATTGTTTTCTCTTATGTAAATGGTTCTACTCCATCCAACATGACGAAAAAAGATGGCTAGGCATTGATGAAATTTCATAGTGTGGGCACATAACAAAATGTAAACTTTTTGAAATTCGAATATCTCGGTGAGTGTATACACTACTGGCAGCTCATATTTTTAATTAGTTAGTTTGACAGTGACAGCATTCATTTGATCCGACTATAATCAATCTCTTTAGTTTACAGTACACAATCTTTTACTCTATGTTATATAATAGTTGTGTTGTCTCTCTTTACTATGACATACTTTTGGAAGCAAAGTATGAGTCGATAAAAGAAAAAAAAGTGAAGCCTTTTGTGCAAGTATGTCAACATGACAATTCTTGGTCTGCAAAAAGTTATTCTTTCTGATTAGTTTCCGATTTCGGAAAAAAATTCTGATTCTTTTCCTGATTTTTAAGTTTTTCATCTAGCAAACCTGGTAAAAATATCAGAAGCGATTCTTTTCTTCTTCTTTTCTTCGTTCTTTATAGAAAGAACAAGCAAAAGTGCATGTATGATTCAGACGGAAGAAAACAAATAGAGTTACTATCTAATTCAAAAATAAAGAAACAATTCTGTAAAAGTAAAATTGCAATGGCCAAATATCCAAATGAAATTGGCAATTGCCCATTTTGCCTCTCCCTTGGCTACGCTGCTGTGATATTGTACACTTATTATCCATAATTCCAATTAGTTGACATATGTTGCCAAACTTACGAGTTCTATTCAATAAAGTTTTAATTTCTTATTCTTGTGCTGCATTTCTCAATATTTGATATTCTTATGTTTTATAAAGTTATCGCAAAACATTCAAATACTGTAATATTTTTTTCATAGATCCATAAGAATCAGTAACACTTTAATTAAAGAAAGTCACATTATATATGCTAAGTTATCATCTGATGTTCATTAATATCGTCTTCTTGTTGCTTATCCAGTAATAACAACAAATTCACTAGTTCTGACTGATCTTGAATTATTACGTAAAGAATATTAGTGTAAGCAATCAAATATGATTTTTGATACAATTATTTTCTACATCTCACAGACTTAAATATATTTGTGAACATTATCCCCATATAACACATGATATTTCAGACATTTATAATATTTTATTTTTTTCCAGGTACTGATTAAATAAAAAAAATAGTCGGTATTCTGTTTCTTTCATGAAGGAGTTGAAACGACACGAACGAAGCTCTTTAATATTCCTGATATTCCATAAGATTAAATTAAAATTTATATGAATAACTTTAAAATTCAGTTGCCTTGAAAAGACAACTATTCCACTTTTCAATTTCAATTACAAAATCGACTATCCTCTATTTTGAAATCAAATGTATTCGCAGGGGCGTAACTAGGGGGGGGGGTGGGACGTAACGCCCCCTGCTTCCGAAAATTAGTAGGAAAAAAGGGGTTTACGCCCCCCCTGCTTTTGAAAATTTTGGTTTTTTTGGTGATGAAAATAGAAAAAATAGGGTTACGCCCCGCCCCCCCCCTGCTCTGGTACCTGAGTTACGCCCCTGTGTATTCGAGTAATTTAAAAATAAGTTTCATTGAAAAACGATAGAAAACTACAAATATCACCATTGAGAGAGGAAAATTAATATTATTGATTCATGCAAGTCTTAATCAGTCTAATGTTCGAAGCATATCTGGTGATCAAGATCTGAAAACTCATGAAAGTTGTATGATTAGGAACTTAATTTTGTTTTTTTAATCTGATGAGGTAGTGATGCAGACGTCAATTACAACTAATAATACATTTCCTTCTACGGATGTAGATTCACTTATCAACAATGAGCCGATAAAGACGGAAAACTAGAAGAAAATCTGCAACTATGAACAATTTTCTCCATATTTTATAGCCTATTTATTTTTCTTGTCGTATGTTTATTCACGTCACTTGCATTCATCTATTTAAAATCCAGCAATTATCTTTTGTGAAAATCCATGGTATATATGAGAAAAGATCTTAGAGTTTTAAAAACATGAAATTTTTGTAACGTACTTTAGAAATGTTTAGTCGTCATTAAAAAAATGAACTAACTATCTTATTGTTTAATCGATCATTTTTTTTTATACAAATCAACATCTGTTTTAAAGACAACTGAATTTTAAAGTAAACTCCGACATTTATATAGATCAGAGTCAATATCAATGTCCAATGAGTCATCTTTTTATTACAGTGATGATCACCCAAACATTGTCAAAAGTTCATAAACAAAGAAATAAAAAATTTCATATATATATTTTTTTACTTCATCTTTCGATTTGTTAAAAATTTTATTTACAACTCAAATTTAAGCGTATGCAAATATTAATGTACATTTTCTCATCATCACAACACGAAACGCAAGGTTAAGTAAAAAAGAGGAGGAACATATGAAGAACGAAATTTATGTGATGATGAGCACGTGATTGGAAAAAAGCTGTCTACATGATGAAAAAAGTCATGGTTCATTGATTCACGTAAACATACATTTATGGAGAAAAAACCAAGTAATGTTATCGATTATAAATACAGAATAAAATCTATTGCAAGCACATCAAACAAAATTTGTATACTCAACTATCGACTAGCACGTAAGTATATTTAATTTCCAACATTCTTAGACTAGTGATAACATTAAATTTGAAAATAAAGAGTGACTACAAACAAGAAAAAAACGAAAGTAGTTTTACGAGAACTATGCTGGGTGATAATCAGGATGTGCAGTCGATTGTCTTGATTGAAGAAGCTCTTACATGTATTATAGGCTTACTGCAAACCACGTTACACACATTAACTTTTTTATACCTACATTGCACCAGGAGTATCAGTAATGAAAGACACAATTTTCAATTTTTATGGAGATACCATAGCAAGGAATTCAAAAAATTATAATAGAATTTGCTCAATGATATAGACATATAAAAAAAACTATTTGAATCTTAATGTACTGAATCAAAATCTAAGATTTGTGCATGAAAACAATAAGTCCTTATTCACAGAATAGAGTAAGTGTCCAGATAATCTCTTGAAAGTCAGCTCAAATAAAAAGACAACATTCATGCAGTAATCATTAGAGAAAATGAAATCGAATCGATTTCGACTTTTTATTACTCCAGCTGTGTTTTTTTTTGCATAGAACACAAGCTTATATAAGAGAAGGGAAGCTTGGAAGGAGAGAGAAATAAGAAGAGAGAAAATAGTGAATATAGGAAAGAAAGAGCAGGTAGCTATTATCTTTCATGAGGTTCTATTATTGGCACACTAAGAGCATGATTAAAGTTCATAATTCTATTGTTGTGCAACAAAAGAAGAAATTATAATCGGTTATAACTTAGATTTTGTTTATACTGTTGTACTGGTTAATAAACGATAAGGTAAAACAAAACAAAATAGAGTCTTTTCCGATATAGAAAAAAGACGAAAAAAATTGATTAAAATCAGATTTTTTTCCGTTTTTTTTTCGTAGGACTTCAGTGTTACAAAGCTATGCTATCTCCTAATATGTTTCAGCCTTTTTAATCATGTCGTTCCGATTTGTCTAGTCTTTTCTCAAACAGTCCTAATTGATAACTAGTCTAAGGTCTGGTATGTCCTTGAATCTCGTCCCAAATCTATCATTGACGAGCATGAGCACATATATACTAAATAGCCTTGTTCAAGTGAAAGATCCGCGTAGGACTACTTTAGTGTCGATGATATATCAAATTATTATTAAAAATGCAGACTAGTTCTGGACGAAGCCGTTTCGAGGTGAAGGATCGTATGATCGAAAACTCAACTTCTACATCTTGGTGAACATTTATACACATTATTTAATTGAATTCTATTCATATATTTTTAAAAATTTTTATATGGATAAAAAAAACCTTTGTATTCTAATACGAATTTATATATCCCCCTGAAATAAAATAGCTTAACTCGGTATCTTTAACATATCATTGCTATAAATCAATATTTTTAGAAAAATAATTATATATTCGGATAGCCCGTGAAATTCTCTACAAGTTTATATATATACGTTTGGAATTGCATTTGTTCGCTAAAAATACGCTCAAGCACAGTGAAGGCACCCTCATTGTCAGATTCCTCGGAAATGCTTTTTTTACTCCTTCTTCATTCATATTTTTAAGTTTATTTTGAACATAGGAACAAGTTATTACAAAAGTAAGTATATATTTTGAGAGCGCGTGAAATGTTCTGTCACTCTGTACTTTTGTCAGTCTTGTCTTGCAATTATTTGATGATAAATACTTCAAGTATTGTTGAAGGTTTAGGCCATATCTTTCTGCAAAGTGGTTCATCATAGACCAATCACTCTCAGTAGCATTAAGATAAGGACTGACAAGTGAATAATTATTCATACATCTTATTCGATTATCGGATAACCATTCATGGGCTGCTGTATGAGTTCATGTGTAGTAATCGAGAGCGGCAGTGTTACAGTGAGTGTACATTAACAATACTCGAAGTATTTTTTATCAAATAATTACAAGACAAGACTAGCAAAAGTACAGAGTGATAGAGCATTTCATGCGCTCTTAGAATATATACTTACTTTTGTAATAACTTGTTCGCATATTCAAAATAAACTTAAAAGTATGAATGAAGGAGGAGTAAAAAAAGCATTTCCGAGGAATCTGACGATGAGAATGTCTTCACTGTGCTTGGGCATATTTTTAGCGAACAAATGCAATTCCAAACGTACATATATAAACTTGTAGAGAATTTCACGGGCTATCCGAATATATAATTACTTTTCTAAAAATGTTGATTTATAATAATGATATGTTAAAGATACCGAGTTAAGCTATTTTTTCCATGGCGATATATAAGTTCAAACAAGGCTATTTGTTTAATTAAAATATTATTTTCATCAAGTTTTAGTAAAAATTAATGAATGCGAACAAATACCATGTTCAAAATAAATTAATAATTTTTTTGTTTAATTGAAGAGAAGATAATGTATATAAGCATCATAATTTTATTTTATTACAAAATAAAGTTAATCCATTTTAAAGTTAGAACTAGAATAGATTTGTGCATTCTTAATTAATTCTTAAATTAAACTAATCAGAGTGCATATTTAAAGTTAAATAAAATTGTAATGCAACAAAAAGTATTCATATTATTTTAGGGTTGATGTGGATCTTTTCTTTATTAACACTCACACACTCATTCCTCACTTGTTTCCGACCATTTTGATTGTCTAGCAAATGAATAAGTACCTGTCTCCTATTTGAACTATTAAAGCTGACATCAGTCTCTTGGCAAGACATGATGTGATGCCAGGACACGCATCACGTGTTGAATACAGATAGTTCAGTTGTTCAAATCCATCTTTTGTCTGTAGCTTTTACTTTTTTTCTGTCCTACGGATTAATCTGGATAGGTTAGATAGACAAACATACTAGACATGCCGGTGTTCAAGGATATTCTAGACTAGTCCAAACGCAGTTGCAAGACTTTTCTTGTCAGGATAACTAGTCATGACGAGTATTGCAGACATTTCACTTATTTTTTGCTTACTTGTGTATTCTTCCTTGCTTCCTGCTTGATGTAAAGAGACTTTACCCGTCCATCGTTGTCATGTCGTCAGCAACACTCTTGAAATAAATCAACGGTCGACAGAGAAGAAGTCCTTAAAGTCTATAGCAATCAGCCAAAAAAAAATGTGAACAAAAAGAATAAACAATTCTTTATACCTAGGGAGACGACCTCTCAGTTATTGCATTCATTCACTCATCTGTTATGGACAAACAAAAATCGACAACAACTGCTGCTGGTGGACTATCAACAAAGGCTATCACCACCAATCATGCTGCTGTGCTATCCCAACCTATTCGCCGAGTTCTTCAAAGTTTTCTTCTGATCTGGCTTGATGCCAATTTCGATGAATCCAAAGATCATTATAACAAGTCAATACAAGATCTACAACATATTGTAGCAACAATCAAAACATTTACAGATGTTGATCAATGTGTTGATTTTCTCAGTGACATTGAAGATGAAAAAGTATTCATGATTGTGTCTAATGCACTGGGACAACATATCGTACCAGAAATCCAAGCATTGCCACAATTACACTCAATTTATGTTTTCTGTGACAATCAATCGATTAATCAACAATGGGTCACAATAATACCTAAAATAAAAGGTGTATACACACAAATTGAACCAATTTGTGAAGCATTAAAAATCGATTGTGAACATTGTGATCGAGGTATGATCTCGGTCAGTTTTAATGGTCTCGATCCATTATTTATGTATACGCAATTTTTAAAAGAGGCACTTTTGGAAATCGAAGATGACGATACAAAATCTATTAAGGAACTCGTTGAATACTGTCGTCTTCACAGTGATGCTTCCGAAATAACACTCGAAAAGATCGAGCGAGAATATCGTGATCATAAACCAATTTCGTGGTACACGGGACCATATTTTATCTACTCAATGCTCAATCGTGGTCTTCGACTAATGGATGTTGATGTTATACTAAAAATGGGCTTTTTTATTCGCCATCTACATCAACATAAGAATTGGTCAAAAACTACATAAACAAGACTGTCCGCATTCATTTGTAGTCTTCTATTTTTTAAAGTGTATGACTTTGTTTTAAGAAGAATCAAGAAAGCAAATGAGATATTTCTCAATCCTATGAAATAGATGAGTCAGTTTTTCTCATGATATCTGTTTATACTGGTGAATCGACAACAGAACTATTGCGGCAATTGATATATTGTAATGTAAGACCGGTGATAATCTGTGATATGAGCATGCGATCGTGATGCGGTTTTCAGTATTCACTAGAGCTAATTACGTAGCACCTTAATATCACATCGTTTTGTTGGAATAAGTCCTGAAGCTAAAAAATCTGCTCAATAAATTTCTGTAGAATCATCAGCTAAATTCCATTCGGAAATCCTCGATATCTTGTAAGAGGAATATGTTATCATGCATGGAACAGTTTTCAGCATCGGATAGACTTTGATAAACTCTACTTGGAACATTTACTATTGTCGTTAGAATTCTACTCCGTGGAAATCACCCGGCGAAATAATGTGCCGACTCGCAAATTGGATCGATAAAACGACGATATCTTATGAAAAAAGCAAGATGTCGATGGCGCTTATCAAATCACACTTCAATATAGGCAAGCGTCGCGGAATTTCGTCTTTTTTAACGTTTCATTGGGAAAGGTTTCAGAACATAATATTTCAATTTTTCATGATGAAAATTCATCTTCTTTCTAACTCATGAATCGTACAAAGATAGTTTCATTGTTCCAGTATGCTAGTTCTACTCTACTTTTCTGGTGAAATCAGTCTATAAATATGTTTTATCTTCCGATGATGCATTTCCGATTATACAGATAGTTTTATTTACCTCTTTGATTTCGAACCTTCCTCCTGCGAGAGTGACTGATGCTGGCCATGCCTACTTGTAACCTATTCAACATTCTTTACAATATTTCGTTGTGTGAATTGATGCGAGAAATACCATCTGTTAGAGCTCATTCATGGAAGGATACATGGAATATACGCAGAGTGTTTCAAAGGTCTGACGGAAAACTTAACGTAAATATCTCTTATATAATTCAAGCGATTTGATTATTTTTTATAATATGATAGTATTTTGTTTTAAATTTTATTTCATATAATTTGGTTGACAATAAACATTCAAAATGACTACCGTCAACTAACTCCATCATTTGTGAAATCTTTAAAAAGAGTATTGCAAAAATTTTATTTTCGAATTAATTTATTTCCGTTATTGGTTCTCATTTTGAATTCAATTGCATCTTCATATATGACTTATACACATTGGTTTTCACTCTATATTTATCGATAAACCATTTCAATGAAAAGAGACTTCGTCCAAAAAAGCAAATTCTCTTAATTGTTGATATTTTCTAACATTGGTATTAAAGTGAACTAATCTCAATTCGATCTTGTAAGTCTTCTTTGTGAAGTTATTGGACCAATTACACCTTATACGGCTTAGTTGGAAGATATTCAGTCATAATTCAGTCTGTTATTGTCCGTGGAATGAAGCAGATTGTAGCAATAATTCGAATATTCGATAATGGCATATTTTCACAAACATCATGAACTTCATTGATTTTTTTCTTCTGCCATTTTTGAAGATCTTTTCAGTTGTAGTCCATTCACCACTATGCTTGTTTTGTAGAAGTGTCCAAAACGTGTCTCTAATACAGAATTGTATATCTGTCAGACTTTTGAAACACCCTACATAATAGTTTTGTTGGAGTATTTTTTCAAGTTAAAAAATTCGCTGTAAAACTTTTTACCCAATCCGAATGTATTCTATCTAGTTGAAAAACGGCGACGATATCTTGTCAAGCAGATGAGCATGTAATCATGATGTAGTTTTTACCATTGGATAGAGTTCGTTCGACAAGAACTAGATACACAAAGATGCCTTAATTCGAACGAATATTATTCTCATATGGATTGACCGCCATAACAAATAAGCGATTCCTCTGGTGACAAGTGCAATATATTGACATTAAACTTTCGGCATTGGGTAGTGTTGAAGAATAACAGTTTCAAATGGTGAGGTTAATTTTGATTTCATGAAACATCTTCACAAAGTGATTCACAAATATCTCTTTCATTCAGTTACTTTAGTAGGGTGATTTATGTTGGACATATATTTTTCTTAATTTCATAGTTTTCTTAAAAATATTTAATATTAACTCATAGAAAACAATAAGTAACAGCAGAATTCATAAATGTTTTTGACAAAAAACACAGCCATAACGTATTTTGTGTTCTGAATGTTAGAAAACTTTTTTTAATATTGATTTTACACTTTATCACACCAATCAATTATTTATCAAATAACCTCCTTATGTGGCATTTGAGACTTCAAAAACAGCCTTTTCTCTAGTTAGAGATACGTAAAAGGTGTTTTTATTCAATTGAAAAGTTTTGTTTTTTTTTAATTTTCGAAAACTGTTAGGAAATGTTAAAATAACAATCTTGAAAGTACTATCCTTCTAAGAATTGAAAAGATAAGTTTTATAGAAGAACAATAGTTCATATTTAGTTTAGAGGTTCGACCAATGTCAATCGTAAGTGAGTGAAGAGTACACCTATTGTATCGTTGGATCTCGCAAAGAAAAATGTCTATACGTTCAGTTTCACTCAGCTGATTTTGATAATTTTGTTTTGTTTTAAAGGTTTAGAGATGATCATTTACTTCTGAAAAAATTAGGTTTCCATCTCTTTTAGTTTATGAGATATCATAGCAACATTGCAAAATATCTAACTTCAAACGCCACCTACTACAAGAGGATCACTTTTTCGTTATTCCATTGCAATTTTTTTAAATGATATTTTTAGCTAGACATGTAGAGCTCGTTAAGCGCTTTCAGAATAAGTTATTATTTTTTGCTTTAGACAAAGTTTTATGAATCAACAACTATGGACAATGCGTGTGAAGACACCTTCATTTTATGTGTAGAGTGATATTGGTATCATTGGTATTCCCTTTGAAGAAATTTCATTTGAACAAATTAGCTTGAGTATCAAAGAGAAATGGGGAGAAGACACTTTGACACGAAAAAAAGTTTGTCTGATAAACCTCATTAACAGAAAAATTTTACGCGAAGTTTAAAAGAAATTGTGTTCACGATAAATGTAGAGCGACATTTTCAATTTTGTCATTGCTATAAAAATTTGATCCGTTTTTCACCTCATAGAGTAGATAAATATTTTAGTGAAAGTAATTTATACACTAAGACTATTGGA